ACTCTGTGTCTTCCCTCTGCTTGTCCCAGCCCCCYTGTACCAATAAGTGATGACCTAAAAAACAGAGCAAGAGAGACTGATTAATGGCAATACTTTTATTCTCAGCAGCACAACGGGAAATTTGCATCCCTGCACACTCCTCCAGCCTACAGAGGTGCCACATTCACAAGTTCCAACCTCTAAACCACTGCTTCCTCTCCCCCAAAATAGGGTAAGCTATGGGGTGAGCTATAGGGTAAGCAAATCCTGGGCTCTGAGCACTCTGTTCAGGGCAGATGGTGTATTTATTGTAAACCAGCTATTGATAACAAGCAGAACATGTTATCACTGCTGCTGTGGCAGGCAGGGTAGGGAGTCATGCGCTCCTTGCTTGCTTTTTGGCCTCAGGACACTTGTGTTCCTGTTTGTACRATAGCTCTGCTTGGAGAGCAAGAATAAAAAATACCTTGTTTTCCCCCTTGCCAGATTGCTGTTTAGCATCGTGCTACATCTCTCTCGTGGGAAATCCAGGTTAGAGACTCTCAGCTTGGGGAAGGAATTGAATCCAGATGTTGCGCTTTCTGGGCAAATGTTTCAAGTTTTGGTTGTTACACAAAAAAAAAAAAAAAAAAGAGGAACCAGCTCATCCAGCGCAGGGGTAAAGAGGTGAACTGTCAGACTCCTGTGATGAAGCTCACCACAGTGGGCTTGCTGATGTGAAAKGTCTGTTCCAGACATCAGGAGGAGACCAGGACACCAGGTTTTGAGGAGCCTTTTCTGCTTTGGGCCAGTGCCATGGGGAGGATGTTTCATAGCTGGGTACAACCACCCCAATGCGGAGCTCTCATGGCAGGCTATGGCCCCAACAAGTGGGAGGAAAACGTAGGGAGAGAAACATAAGCTATAGAAGTGAGTTTTTCCATTAAAAAAATGATGTATAAGTTCAGTACAGTTCATTAATGGTTGAATCAAAGACCTTTGAGGTCTTTTCCAATTTAACAACTCTATGATTCTGTGATTCTATTTAAGTGTTCACCCTAAAGACACAATTTGTGGTAGGGTGAGCAGGAGGGATGTGCTTGCAACTTTCAGAGGGACTCCACAGAAATGTCTTGAGCACACTCCTATCCTTCTTGGAAAGCTGGGAAGAGCCCGTGGTATCCTGAATCCTGGTTTGCCAGTGTGATCCTGTCCACCCGGCCTCTGAGCATCCCCTCAGACAAGGGAGATCTTTGGAGGTGCAGCTTCATTTACTTTGTGTGGGCTCTGGGAAATCCTGTTCAGCATCAGAGACTGGATTGTCCTCAAGGAATGAGGTTGTTTGTGTCATTGGAGCGTGGCCAGGGCTCATGTCAGACTTAGACATTAATTTTGTGCGTGCTCATTATTACTGGGTAAGAAATGCAAGAAGTGCTTGGTGACTATTTTGACCCACTTTAGTGCTCAGTTGGATGATACAAAAATAAGCAAGAGGTGTAAAGGCTACAGAGGAGGAATATTTTGCCTTGGCATGGTTGAGCCACCCCAACAYAGCCCTGAATGTGTGAAGACCTTTGCTTAGCTCGGCTCTGTCACTCTCAGCAGAGAAAACCCTGCATCTGTGTGAGTGCCTGGCTCTTGGTGCTCAAAGCACCCACTCAACACCCTGGGGACACTCTGGTCACAGCCCTGTCCCTGACACACAGGCAGATGGGGAAAGTGGAGGTTCACAAGGCAGCAGTGGAATTCCTCCTGCTCTGCGAGCACTGAACCGCTGGCATCATCTGTCCCTTTTCCTCCCCTTCACACCCGCTCACATCTGTTCTTACTCACGTGTGACAAAAAGCCACTACCTGAGCACTGCTGGGGRGAAGGACAGGCTTCAAAGGCACCAATGGCTCCCGTGCTGGAGCTGCTCTGCAAAAACACAGCTCAAGGAGAAGCCTGTGCCCTGCCAGGGTCCTGTCAGCTCAGGCCGAGGGCAAGCAGGGGACACACGTACCACACGTGGTGACAGCAGCCACCAGCTGCCACCGAGCCTCAGCTCATGGTCCTGGGGGCACAAACACATCCAGGATCTGTGTGAGCTCCCAGGATCTGTGCGAGCTCCCAGAGAGCAAAACCAGGGAGTGGGAAGGCAAAACCCCAATGGGGCACCAAAGTAGGAGGAAAAAAAAAATCAAAATTACATGGGATAAAACCCTGTATTTAAGGGTAAAACAGCTCAGGTAAGACAGGAAAGGTTGACTAGAATGTGCTTTTACCTGTTAAGGACAGTATTTTAGAACACGGGGGTCAAACACAATAGGCTCTCTGTGTCTGTGGGGCTGTGGTTACATCATGTTTTTGATGGTAATTTTGCCAGGGCCAAGAAAATAGATTAGTACACAAATCACTTTCAGTTTTATTCCATTTTGACATTTCAGGGTCTCCAGCAACTTGGCATCACTCATCGTGAAGCCAGAAATATTTGTGCGTTAAAAGTGTGTTTTGAATTACAAATATTTCGACATTCACAACACATAATTTAGGGAACCAGGAACATTCCTCAGTGCAATTGCCAAGCAGAGTTTTTGGTGCAGGGCAGTAGGTGCATGCTGAGGATGAGGATGGTGTGCCAGATGCAGGGCATGTGGCTTCTGTTGTGCTTCTCTGGGGTGGCTGGCTCATCAGGAGAGCAAAATCTCCTTGGAAAGCAGCAGTGGTGAGCTGCTGCAGCTCTGGGAAGGGCTGGGAAGGAGTCTATAGGTGCTGACCTACATTTGAGCAAGGGGAGTGAAGGGAARCTGAGCTGGCCCTTGGGATGACACAAGGGCATTTCCCTCCCAGCCAGGTCTGCCACCATCCTGGCGTATGAATTCACTCGCGGTGARAGGTGCCAGACTGACATTCAAAACGTGTGTGGGGGGAAAAAAGCGCCTTGTTCTTAATAATTCTTTCCTTTCTTTGTGCTGATGAAGTACAATGGGACATTTAAATCTGATTTTTATAACATTTTGCATTGCTATAGATCACGGTCTGACCTGGAGAAGACACTTTGTTCTGACTGCAATGATCTGATATTTCATATTTTAGTATTTTTTTTTGTCTTCCCTGTAGTGTTTCTGTTGCATTCTGGCACAATATGGGCTCCCTCCAGTGGTCAAGGGGCTCCGGGCTCCTGGTGTYGTTTGCCCAGGGGCTGGCACAGGCTGGCATCACAAATGCCAACAGGAATCATCCTGGGGCTGTGCTTCTTTCKCCCCAAATCCCCTGCTGTGGGTGCCATCGCACGGGCAGCAGAGCAGCGCTGCTCTGTAACCCGGTACCGCGCAGATTTAAGTGGAACAGCCTGAGCAAATAAAAAAAAAAAAAACAGGCTCTGGGTTTCCTTCCAGTTCCCAAAACGTTCGCTGCAGAAGGGGGAGAGGAAGCAGGAGAGGAGAGAGAACCCGAGCAGATCTGCTGAGAGACCCAGACACAACAATTTTTAGCCTAAAATGACTCATTTTTGCATTCCACTCTTGCTGGGTTATTTTGAGCCCAGGTCCTGACTTTCTCCTCGCAGAAACCGTTAACGTGGTTATTGTGGGGGACAAGTCAACCGCTACCACTCTGAAATGTGACATTTCCATCTCCCCTCCCCGGGGTGCACAACTGCCKCCGGCTCCCCGGGCTCGCTCAGCCACCAGTGCATTTAAAAACACCGGAATTATTTTTGGAGCACCTGGGCAGGACGGGGATCCCCTCCGGTGGCCAAGAGCCCAGCGGGGCTGTGCAGAAGCGGGTCCTGGAGGGTTGGGCCGTGTTCGTGGATACTCCTGGGGTGTAACCCGGGGGTGTCCCCGCACTGTGCTCACCCCTCTGTGCACACCCATAGCTGGGGGTGTGCTCGGACACTCAGCCCCGCACACTGCACAGGGCACGGACACAGCCAGAGGGATGGATGTTTGTGCTGTCAAGGGGTGCTGTCAGAAAGGGGGGGGCTGTTGGCACCTCGGGGCGCAGCAGGACCGCGTTTAACCCCTCTTTCCACTCCTGCGCCGGCCCCCACAGAGCCCCAGCCCGCGGGGGTGTGTGAGGAGGGGTGAATGCACCGACACCCATCTGCACGGGGTG